TAGAACAGTTCTCAGAACAGTTCTCAGACTTACTCTCCCTCTTTACCTCTCCCACTTTATTTTTCGAAATTCAGCCTCAGAAACATAGCCTTGATTTGGGGTTGAGATGAAAAACAGCTTGTTTCTTCTTATGTTTTACACTAAGGGTGCACTGAATACTTGGCGGATTCAGATAACTTTTTGAATATTTGCCCGACAACAGATATTTCAACTTATAAGGACAAATCTTGATATAAAGTTTTCTAACAAATGGAATGCTAAAAATGCTAACAAATACTGATGGAGATTCAATTGGAAAAAACTGCAGAAAACAGTGTAACACCTAGACCTTTCTTTTACAAATGATATTTCTGAATTCCTCTTTTTTTTGTGAGGTAAATCCTAACACAAGCTCATTGTTAAAATGTACCCCCGTATACATTTCTGGAGAGTGCGAATTATGTAGCCAGAGCTATGTATGACTGCATTTCCTCTTTAAACTGAATGCTACGGGGCGGTATGATGATGGCTTCTGTTTCTTTTCGCGCTACCTGCTGACTGCTTCTCTATGGACGGCTTTTCTGCTGTTACCAGTTTGCCCAGTTGCTCACCATGTACGTTGGTGGACTTGAGATGCAGAGAGGAGTTGATTACAATGATGGGGTTTGAGTACGGCGAAGAACAGTTCCAGAAAGCAGATAAAACAAACAAAAGGCAAAAAATTTAATGAATAAGTAAATAACAGGGTGAGAACGTGGTAAAACCTGAAATTGTAAACAAAATTCAGGCGGCCCATCAAAGGCTTTTCTTTTTCTGGATTGCTTTTGAAAACACTATTGATTGGGTTTAAGGAAGTGGGTGGGCATTGGTCAATCGGTGCTTTTGAAAACACTATTGGTTGGGTTTAGAGAAGGGGGTGGATGGGGGTTTCGCTCTGTCAGTCAGTCAGTCAGTTAGTCAGTCAGTCAGTCGATAGAGGTCTCTGGTGGACTTACGCAAGAACAGCAGGCGCACTTTCAGAATTTGAGATCTGAACAAGAGTACACAGCAGCCTTCGATGGATTTCCAAAAAACAAAAATTGCAAAAATAAAAAATGTAGCTTCTAGGACGTATATACGTAAGGGTATGTACTGTATCAATAATGAGCCTGGGTTGAAAAATCCCCCATGCACGCATCATGTTGTGATCATATCTAAAACACTAAACTCTATGTAACTCTATTAACACACTATCACAATAAAGTCAACGTTAGCCATTTAGCAACGAAGCTAGAGTCACCAGGCAGACAGAAGCCCACTCATGACTGGTATCTGCGTCTATTGTGAAGTGAACTTGACGAGAAGAGAATTTAAAGCCACAACAGACGAGTAAATTCAAAATGTTCACGCATCTAATTAATCTATGCTGTTTTTAGCCTTCCTAAAGCACATAAACACAGCTACTATTACAATAAAATCCATGTTAGCCTTTTAGCAACGAAGCTAGAGTGACGAGGCAGACAGAAGTCCCAGCCATGACGCGAATCTGCGTCTATTAAACTTATATAATAAAGCCAATTTGAAGCGCGAATAAAGCAAGTAAACTCAAAATGTTCACGCGTCTATTAACTGGCAAATACCATGATTTTTTTCGCGCATTCCGCATCTGGTGTGAACAGAGCATAACAGTGTAAATTACTCTGAATGCATGAAATAGAATTAGACCACCCCATTCATGAAAAAAATGGCACACAAACAAACTCTTACTTTTAATCATATTTAAAAATACACATGAAACTCTGGGCTCTATTTTGACGGTCCATGCGCAGAGCGCAAAACGCAGGGCGCAAACGCTTTCAGGGCGTGTCAGGACACGTTTTTGCTAATTTAAGGACGGGAAAATCCGCTTTGCGCCAAGGCGCATGGTCTAAAAGGGTGGAGTTTATTTTCTTAATGAGTTATAGGTGTGTTTTGAGAATAAACCAATTAGAGTCTCATCTCCCATTCCCTTTAAGACCCAGCTGCATTGCGCCAAGAGCGCATTTGCTATTTACAGGACGCAAAGTAAGTCTAAGTGGAAAAACTGAGCATTTCACAAGCAAACAGTTAACAGTTGACAGTTTTTTAACAGATAACTGTTAAACAGAGCATCTACTGCGTGAGAATGAGAGATAATGGATCACTTTCACTTTCGCTCTTGGATAGGGAAACCTTTACGCACAGACATCAATTAGCCTATAAATAATTAATTTCGTTTGTTAAGCGCAAAGATTTGTTTCAAAACTATTTCTAAATTCAGTTCTAATTTTTTAGCAAACGAATAAATGAACAATAATGGCCAAGTGTGGTCAAAATACTGAGTTATTTCCAAATACACCTGCCATGCCCCATATGGTCTTAAACCTGACAGGTGGTCAAATCTAAGCTTGTTTTTAATAAAACAAATATAAATATGGATATAATAAATAATACTGCTAATAATAATAACATTATACAAAAGCAAATTGTTATGAATGAACTAAAAAAGCCTCCCGAGATGAAGAAGACATAAAAGCAGTGATTTTTCATATTTATGTAGGCTAGAAAATAATATGTTTTGTAACATTTTAATCCTTTATATTTATATCCTATATCTATTCTTATTATATCCTATATATATCCATAATATTAAAATCTTTTCATATGTAAAGATATTTGTCTATTGCTCTCTTGTGCGTATTAAGCAGTGTGTAAGCGAGGCGCAACTCTGCGCCGGAGTTTAGACCAGGTTAGTTTTGGTCTAATGAAAAATCTATTATAGTTTTTCAAAATAGCGACGCGCCAGCGGTCCGCCTCAGAACGCCTTCCTTATTAGACCAGAACGCCTATGGGCACACATATGAGCGCTAATGCATTTGCTATTTAAACAGCGTAGCGCAGCGCCTTAAAACGACTCTTGCGCCAAGCTGAAACTACCAAAAGACTATTGCGCCGCGTCTTGCGCCCCACTGCGCCGGATGTATGATAGGGCCCTAAGTCTGACACTCGCCTGACATCATCCAGGCTAAAAAAATGCACATCTATGGTGATTTTGAACCTTCCTCATGATGCAGTCGGTCAAAAGTAGCTGAATTATGATCGGCTGCTAAATGTGAGGGCGTTTCAGCATGACCCGATTAGAATCATCAGACTATTGTGGGAAGACCTTTTTGATGGAACCTGTCAAAGATAAACGACACAAGCTCCCAGACAGACAGTCCAGCTTTTCTCTGGATGCAATTACAACCATTAAGCAATAAATTGCAGCAGTAGATGGCAAAATGTCTCCGAGCGGTCAGGACGGAGCATCTGTAAAGCCTAGTTCACACTAGAGGATTTAAAGCCTGATTTGAGCCCGATTTGGAAGTTAACGAGCTCGCCGACAGATCGGGCTGTGATCGGGAAGAAATCTGCGGGTGCTCGGCGCTCGCCGCTCTTTATGTGTGAACTACTGAACAACGCATCAACGAGGCTCGCTGACGCGTCGCCGACACCTCGCAGACGGTAATCCAACATTCAGCATGCTAAATATTCCAGAGCAGTCGGCCGACTCAACCCCACGTGTGGTCAGATCTAGTGACGAGCTGCAGCCAATGAGAGAGCATATCAGCATGAGCTGAATGGCTGTGTGTTCAGGAGCTCAGCAGAAACATCTGTGATTGGTCAGAATGGGCATCAGTGCACTCGCTTCATTCTGTGTTAGCACAGACATGAGAGGAGGATATATTAACAGTGGAACTAGAATTCTGTAACTATTAGAATTACCGTACTGCTCATTCTGACCGTTCTCATATAAAACGCCATATTGTCACAACATATTTACATTCAAAGCTATTATTGAGATATTAAAATTAAGCTTTGAATGTCTGGCATCATATTTAATGACACCATTACCCTAAAAATATAATCTTTTTTGGTAATCCAGCCTATAAATATGTAGTTAAGATACTAGAACATGCAAAGGTCTTGGCTTTCATTTTCACTTTCAAACAGGAGCTATTCGGCACAGAATATGCTGTTTTGAAAGATATCTGAAGTAAATTGATGTTTTTGCCATCAGAAAGTTTTGTTTATGTTAGCAGGAAGTTGCCAGGCAAGAAAATGCACACATATTTAAAGTCACAGCGAAAAGTATCAGACATGCATGCAGTCATTTTGACCAATATGGTAATTTAAGGCAGAAATGCTCAGTTCTTTACTGTTTTGTAATAAAAAAAATAACAATGTCAGAAAGAAATACACTGATAGTTAGAAAACGGCAGGGTGTTATAAATATGTTAGTTTTATTTCAAAGAGTTATAAAATTACAAAAATTAAAAACTCTCTGTGTATCTATCCACTGGAACCTTGCAGATGAGTGATTAATCCGCTGATGAATCAGCTGATTTGACGATGTTTTTAAATGCTTTCTCCAAAGCTTGAAACACTGTCAGTGATGTCATCAGCACACAAGCAGCCAATAGTGTTCAGCTTTTCTGACGACTCCTCCCTCAAAACTTCATTGGCTGTGGTTTGGTAGCTTGAATGAGCTGATGGGGAATGAGATGTTGTCAGATCATGTAGTGTGTGACCCCCCTCTTGTGGATCGTTCACGGAGTGTTGCGTAGTGTGAACACCACAGAGATTAAAAGACACAAAGTCCAGTCATGTAGTGTGAACAGCACAGCAATCTGCTGATGTTTAAAATCCTCTAGTGTGAACTAGGCTTAAGCGAGCAGGGAAGGTAAAACAACATGGCAGCCGGGTATTAGGATGTAAATGAATTCATCAGAAATATCTGTCCTTAATCTTGGCAACATTTCCTAGACTTCAAAGGCTCCCCCGCAGGAGAGCTCTGAGTCATGCGGCACTTATTATTTATGCACTTTAGCAGATCTGTCTGTCAGCTGTTGGAGAGCAGCCAATTAATAATTTCTCTGTTTTCTTTCGTTCTGCGTCTCTTTTATGCGGATCATAGCCCGTTTACACTGCGAGCCTTTTCAAAACATGTCAACATGTCTCTGTTCTCTCTCTCCCTCACGCAGACTAACAAAGCGGTGACTAAAGGGGACTTTCACCATGCCAGCTCCAGCTCCAGACGCGCGCTCTTCCTCGCCGTCCTGTCCATCACCATCGGGACGGGCATCTACGTGGGTGTGGCGGTGGCCCTTATCGCATACCTCTCCAAAAACAATCACTTGTAGCCTTCCCGTACCCAAGCCACTCTTTCCTTTCAGCGCTCCGGTTCATCAGCTTTTTTGGGAAAACAAAGGTCAAAGGTCATGACTATGGGGATCACCAGCAATGTGTTCCACCTCTGCACTTTCAAAGGGAAGGTCGTTTGTGTAAATGTCCTGATCACCTTTCTGCATTTTTCATGTGAACGTGACGCCTCTACTATTGTTTTTGTTTGTTTTGTGCTGCAAATCTAATAGATTGACTTCACGCAAAATCGAAATCGAGGCTGCGGTGGGAAGAATCCTGGAAGTATCGTCTGAGTCACACAGGAATGTTCTGTACCTGGCTGTATATCTAATCAGCGAAGAGCAATCAACACAAATTGATCATTTCACCGCCTTCCGAGTGACCCGATGGTCTGTTCTAAATGAAAAGTGAAAATAAATGAGGGATGTCAGACCTCATTTTGAGCTAAGTTAAGGGGAAAGACACTAGTTAGCTAACGTTTTCTTTCCCAAACACACGTTGTAGATGCCATTTATCAAACTCAAGTTGATGAACTGAATCTTTTACTATATTAGACCTGTCACAATACAAAATTTCATTACTGAATTTTATAAAAACCGTCAAGTTCCCTCTAGCATTTAAGCACTGTTTTGTCGGCTGATTTGCCATTGTGTTCACCGGTGCTCAACAGAAATGACTGAGATTGGCTGTGAAGGTCATCCGTTCACTGCACCTTTACCACCAAGTGCAAACACAGACGAGCAATCCGCTGATGACTCGACTGATCTTTGCGTCTTTAAAACGCTCCAGTGTTCTTGCATCTGCGTTTGCACTCAGCGAAGAGCGGGGAACTGATAACCTTCACAGCCAATCACAGTCATTTCTGTTGAGCACCGGTGAATACTATGGCAAATCAGCTGTGTTTAAGAACGCGCTCAGCGACGCTTAAATGTTAGCGGGAAGTACTGGGACAACACTATTACAGAGAACACAAGGGTATTCAACAGAGGACTGCATTGTTTCATCGCTCACCAGGTTGCATAGGCTAAAGCAGGGAAGCCCCCACTGTGTTTACCTGGTGCCATGAACTGAAGCCTAGGAGGACAACTTGAGAATATCACTCTTCAAGAGATTGTGATGCTGTTTGATGCCTAATATGCTTTTAGTTGTTTAAATTAAACTAGACTGAATGATATTAAAGGGATGTTTACACCACATCTGCATTTTAACATCGCGGCATCCGCTGGAGATTTGTAGTACGCAGCGTATTCCTGCAATGTTTACAGTGCTGATCCTATACCTATAGGGTTTCTTCCCACCGCAGCCTCGCTTTTCGTGTTTTAAAACGGTGGCCGCGTAAAATAAGTGAAAACTGCACACATATGATTCTGGCCAAGTTAAAGTCAATATGAAATCAAATCAGACCTGATTTGCTTTCCTAAAGGGGCTATATGTAAGAATTTTCATGTATTCATTGTTTTTAGTTTATTGCCAATTTGTGAGCAGCTTATTAATAACCTAATTATGAAAGCCAGTAGGCTGCTTTGTACGTGCCAGGAAAATGAAAATGTTGAAACATGAACACATGAAATGAATGCTGACAGAGTGATACAGTATACAGTAGAAAGTAAGGGTGCACTAAAATAAAATTCTAGACCAAAACCAAACAATCTGAATGCCCCTGGGTGAAGAATCAATGCTTTGGGACCACAGGATTTCATCTCTGTTATTCGCAGACGATGTTGTTCTGTTGGCTTCATTGAACATGGACTTTCAGCATGCACTGGGGCGGTTTGCTGCCGAGTGTGACGTGACTGGGATGAGGATCAGCACCACTAAGTCCGAGGCCATGGTGCTCCACTGGAAAAAGGTGGTTTGCCATCTCCAGGTTGGAGGAAAGTCCTTACCCCAGGTGGGGGAGTTTAAGTATCTCAGGGTTTTGTTCACGAGCAAGGGAAGGATGGATTGTGAGATTGACAGGCGGATCGGTGTAGCGGCAGCAGTAATGCGGTCATTGTACTGGTTTGTTGTGGTAAAGAAGGAGCTGAGTCGAAAGGCGAAGCTTTCGATTTACCGGTCAATCTACGTTCCTACTCTCACCTATGGTCATGACCGAGAGGACAAGATCTCAAATACAAGCGTCCGAAATGAGTTTTCTTCGAAGGGTGGCAGGGTGCACTCTTATGGATAGGGTGAGGAGTAGAGCAGCTGAGGTGGCATCTGTTTCAGATGCCTCCTGGACGCCTATCTAGGGAGGTGTTCCAGGCATGTCCCACCGGGAGGAGGCCTCGGGGAAGACCCAGAACACGCTGGAGGGACTATGTCTCTCGGCTGGCCTGGGAACGCCTTGGGATCCCCAGCTCATGTTTTCTGACTTTTTTCTCTTTTAGTCAAAAATGGTAAATAACCCATAATTTTTGTTGACCAAAAATTTGGTGCATCCCTAATAAAAAGAGTTATCCTGCGAACTGTACATCAGTGTGTCATGCACAGAAAAGGATTTATTTAAGGTAGTCTTACATAATCATATTTATAAATCATAGAGGTTAAATTATATATTCAAATACATATTTATCTTTTTATCAAAATGAACGAGTGCTACACATTTATATATTCATCATCTAGGTGTTAACAATATTTCCCGCAAAACTATTTTCAACCTCTGATGTCAAAATGAGCGATGTCTCACGGCAATTCGTAACTTTTTGATTTAGTGGCTAATTCGTATTCATTCGTACAGTTTTATATGATTTGCTCATCTTCCAATGACGGTTGGGTTTAGGTGTGGTGGTTGGGTGCCACGCCTTCTTTTAAAAATCATACAACTCATATTAATTTGTACGAATTAGCCACTAAACTGACAAAACGTAAAATAGTTCTGTTTTCTGGTGAGATCAGGCTGAATTCAATTATTGTTGACTACGTTTGTTGCACATATTGTGTTAAGTTCCATTGATGTCCACTGGTGTCACTAATAACAAGGTTTTCTGAATTCAACATATAGCCTCTTTAATGCACGTTTCTGCTCATATTTTGCACCTTTTTTCCCAAAGATATACATTAAATCTTGCTGTACCACTAAACTACTTTTTTACCCGATAGCATCAGCTAATGGATTTCCAATTACGATCCAATTTATTAAATCATAAGTCAGTTGCAGCAACTCTGTTTAAGCTTAGCAAACGTTGGTTGGTTGGGGGTAAGATGCCACAGACGGCTTCTGTTTTTTTTTTTTTACATGCTACCAGCTAACCGCTTACCTCAATATAGCTTTTCCAGTGTTGCCAGTTTGCCCAGTAACTTGCCGCGTACGTTGGTGGACTTGAAAGGCGGAGCAGAGTTGACCATGACAATGGGGTTTGAGTCCATCAAAGAACAGTTCCAGAAACCAGTTAAAACAAAAGCAAATAAATAAATAAACAACAGGCTGAAAATTTGGCTTAATCACATATCCGCGACAGCATTTCCTTTTCTACATTGCTTTTGAAAACACTAACGGTTGGAATTAGAGAAGTGGGTGGGTGAATCAGTCAGTCAGTCAGTCAGTCAGTCAGTCAGTTGACAGCAAGCTTGAAGCTGTCCTGGTCGGTTGAAGCGTATACTGCACCCTCTAGTGGATTTCCGCAAGAAGAAGACGCCTGAGAGAATTTGGAGATCATCAGAAAGCATACACAGAGGCATGTGGTGGATTTACAAAAACAAAAACTGCGAGCTGATGTACCTCCGGTTGTTTTTTTGCTGTCCCCTGCAATGTAGACCTGGATATATTTCTGCAATGAGTTTGGGTTGGTTACAACTTAGCAAGTAAATGTTGTCACACCATTCTTTCTTGCGAGCATTTACACACCGTTTTTAAAAATGGTAAAATGGTAACACACCAAGTGTATTTGGGGAACACTTTAAATTATTTATTATTCAATTATTTATTTATTTATTTATTTGACTTTTTTAACTATACTATTGTCATTTACTTGAAATGCATTTTTTTTTGTGATGTCATGCACATGGATACTATGCGTTCAAACGTAAAGCATATTTGTAGCATTACTGTACAAAGTGGCATCGGCAGCTACCGGCCTGGCATGCAGTGAACAGAAGTCATTTTGACTGCTTTGCCATCTGTACGCAAAACGTGTTAGCATGTAAATGACCATGAGTTGAAACAAACCTCATGTTTGATTGTATGACTACAATTATGGATGTTTACAATCTACAATTGGTGCAACAAAAATTAACAACCCAGGCTCTATCTAAAAACGTACCTCTATATACATTATTGGAAAGCGCCAATACGTGCTAGGAGCTATGTTTTTTGCGGTTTTTGTTATCGCAAATCCACCAGAGGCCACTGTGTGTGCTTTTTCAGATCTCAAATTTTTCTTGCGATTGCCATTTGCACCTGCTGTTCTTGCGTAAATCCACCAGAGTGCTGTCGACTGACTGACTGACTGACTGATCGACTGACCCACCCTCCTCTTTCCCTAAACCCAACCAATAATGCTTTCAAAAGCACAGACTGATCTGGTTTCTGGAACCATTCTTCACCAGACTCGAACCCCGTCATCGTGGTCATCTCCTCTCTGCATCTTAAGTCAGCTGACGTATATGGCAAGCTAAATGGACAAACTGGTAACAGCGGGAAATCCACCCCTTTGGAGGTAAGCAGTCAGCTGGTAAGCACGAAAAGAAACGGCGTCGTACCACCCCCTACGGTTTGTTTTAAAAACAAAATGCAGCCATACATACTGCTGGCTTTATAATTCGTGATCTCCAGAAATGTATATAGGGTTACATTTCCAGATCGAGCCTGCGTTAAAAATTGCTAGTTATGAACTTACAAACAGGTGCAACTATTCTTACTGTAGATTTTGCATTTTGGTTAAATTTTTAACTTTAGTTTGATTCTGAAACACATCGGATTATAGAAGTAAACAGACATTTCATGTTGACTTTAATATCGTTTTTTTCCACAGTGTTTGGTATACAGATCTAACCTGTCAAAGATCTGAACAGGATCTGAATCTGAACAATCAGCGCTTTTTCTTGAATGTTTTTTGGAGTATGTGAAGCATCTATCTGAAGTGCCGCAGTGCTTTCAAGCCTTTTTACTAAGAGCTACTGAATCTTAAGGTCTGTGACACAGGAAGGGGCATTTTCAGCACTCCACTCTTTTGATATTAAAGACACAAAAATCAACACGAAGCCATAAAGGTGGGTTCCTCAAGCCTGCGTGTGGACTTTTTTTTTTGAGAATGTATGGATGAATTCTTCTAGTGGGGCTGTAATGTTCACTATTAACTACTCTGTAATCAAGTTCTTAGGCTTTTGGTTTGTATATGTCAGTCTTTAAAGCTGTAAATGCCTCCGCTGTCGATTTTTCTCCCACACTTTGGGAAACACCTCTTGCCAGCAAGCTCATGCTAATTAAATGTGGTCTTTTCATTCAAACATGGTTCTGGTGTGTTCATCTGATTTGATCTCAGAATCTTTTGTTGTTTGTTGTGTGTAATAAAGTGTGAAAAATGTTTGTGTAAAAAATGGACAAAAAAAACTGTAGAGACATTACGCTGAAGATAAAAAAGTGCTGTGAAATTTATAGATAATTATAGACTGAGACCTAGATAGGGTAAAGACCATATGTCCCACATTATTGTAACAACAATAGGTTCATATCCATTCAAGGTTCAAATGATTTAAAATATCCTAAACTTCTTCCTTCTAAGATCCTGCTCTATTTGGTCAGATGGCACAGTTTGTTGTGATTGGTCTATTGCTTCTATCCATTCATCCATCCCAATCCAATCCATCCATCCCAATCCAATTCTATCCAAATCTAATTTATCCATCCATCTCAATCCAATCCAACCCATCCATCCAAATCCATCCATCCCAATCCCATCCATCTATGCATATATCCATCCAACCATTCATCCTAATCCAATAATCCCAATCGATTCAATCCAAATCCCATCCATCTATCCCAATCCCATCCATCCATCCATGCATCCATCCATCCATCCATCCATTCATCCATCCAATTCTAATCCAATTCAATCAGTCAATCAATCAATCAATCAATCAATCAATCAATCAATCAATC